GTACGTAGAACGATTTTTGTTTGATAAACATTGTATGCTAATAATTTTTGGAGGTATTTTATTCAGTTTATTTTATTACATTAATTTCATATCATATTATGTTGTTTTATTCCGTTATTCTTTGGACCTTACCCATAAGCTGTAAAGTATAGATATTAAAGCACGAGTAAAACCTGAGATAACAAAATTGAAAGGTGTGATATAAATCATAAATAAAAAATTTAAATAATATTTTGTATATTTTTTTTTGTAAAGGTTTAAAATTAAAATTCTGGATATCCACCAGTTGAGTGTCCACCAAAAGGGGGCTAATGTTTTATACAGTCTGCTAAAAGAAACTCCTAAAAATTCCATTACATTCTGCTTTGATATGCAGCATCTGCAGCCTTTGCCCAAAACATCTATTAATGGTGCGTTTTATGCACAGCAGATTAGCATGTCTGTTTTTTGAGACGTTGATAGCCAGTCCAAACATCCAACTTTTTTTACTTGGACTGAAGATCAGGCAGGTAGAAGATCAATTGAAATAGGTTCTACACTTCTGGACCTAATTTAAAGCTCTAGTTCAGGTAACAGAAATATTACTTGTATTTTCAGTCAGGGACCATTCGTATTTGCCAGCAAACAGGGTATTTGGGAGAGTAGAGAAGCTTCTAAGAAAAAATTCACAATTGTTTTTGGGGAGAAATATGAAGAAATTTACAAACAAACTGGGGTTGTTAAAAAGATAGGTACTAATTGGAGATTGTTTAATAGGAAAGAGCTTCAAGTTGGCTTAAAAAAGTGAAAGCGCTAGCCGATACAAAGAAGATTGTATTAAAAAAAATTAACAATGGCAAATTCATAAAAACACGATCAATCAAACTTTACTGGTACCGGGAATTGCTTAATGGCAAAGTTTCACTGAAAAGGATGAGGAGGAAGATAAAGGAGTGACATGTGACTACCTTGAAGAGAAACCAACGCTTCAGATTTGATTTTACTTTTTTTGCTTTTTTCAAATTGTTAAATACTTATAATAAACATAATTTTCTACATTCCAATTCGTTTATTTTCTTTTATTTTTAACAAAAATATGGTGCTCTGGCAAAGATCTTTCAGGCAAAAATCGATCAATTTATTTTTTCAAGTAAAACCCGATAAATAAAAAAAAATCAAAAATAAAAATAGTAAAAAAAGAAATATATTAAAATTCTAGATTTTTATTTCATGGCATTTGACTGCTACTTATTTCCAATATGTTTCTTTATTCCATCAATTTATAATTTTGTATGTAGTTTTTTAACGTACTTATTTTTATTTTTTTTTACATGAAATTTTGTTTTACCGTTTTACCGTATTATTTTACATATGACCCGCTGATCAAATTCCTATCCCTCGATTTAAGATGGAAATTATCTAGATAAGCCGAAGTCAAATTCCTTTTACAATGAATGCGGTATATTGTACGATTATAGGTATTTAGCACTGTATTATCCCGCCAAATGTGCTGGATGCGGTTTGGTGCGGTCGTTCTAGATTTCCACTTGAAATCTCTCTAAAATTCGACCCACTTGCATCTGTTCCTGTAATATGTGCATAGAATCTGTGTTGGAATATTATTTGCCGAGATTACCATAAAGTCTCGAGGTTAAGCTGTCTATAAAATATAAACTCTTACTATTTGATTTCCTGCCAGCAATTCTCTAAACCAGACACAAAGTCAATTATATTTATTTATATACTGTTAGGGAGGTATAAATTATATGTACTATTACAGTATTTTAGCTTATTTAAAAAGATGCACCTATTCCTCATCATCCTTTGTAATTAATTTTCCAGTCTGAACACGAAAACTTTAAACTAAACAAAAAAATTATTTTATTATCAAGCAAATATTTGTTAAAGATATCAAAAACACCATACTAATAAGTGATAATGAGAAATTTAACTAAGAACTAAATCTGGACAACGATGCTCAAATAAAGATTAAAAAATCTAGATGATCTATCTTAAAAATTTTAATGTAATACTAGAGGGACGAAGGTGTCAATTTAAAATTTTAAATTTTAACTGGTGTAAATTTTTTGTAACAATAAAACACTGAAAACTTTGTTTTCAAACTTCCACAAAATTTATTTTAACTTATCACTACAACTGTTTCGGCTGATGCCCTTTCTCAAGTGATCTATTTTTGGCTTGCATTTACATTTTATAGTCTCTAATGGAATAGGTTGAGGAGGCGAGAACTGCTTGTCCCAAGTTGGTCATACAAAATTATATCTGTGTTTTCTAATTTGTCGATTTTCATAGATTGTAACAAGGATAACTTAAGGCCTTTATTTTGAATGTGAAGAATTTTAAATTCGTTATTAAAAGAATGATTGTGATCTAGAAGGTGAAGTGCGTATGTAGAATCTGTTTTTCTATTACTGAAAGCCCTATTTATGTTCTTCTAATCGTTTATTAAATTTTCTACCAGTTTGAGCGATGTAAGTTTTTGGGCAGTCGTCCCATTTATGATTGTACACACCACTGTGTAAGTGTGTTTTATTTTGGCTCTTGTTGTTTTTGATATATTTGCCTAGGTTGTTATTTGTTCGAAAAGCTGGTGTTATTCCTTTCTTTTTTATGTGTTTGGCCACTTTAGTTGATATTTTGCCTGTATATATATATATATATATATATATATATATATATATATATATATATATATAAATATATATATATATATATATATATATATATATATATATATATATATATATATATATATATATATATATTTTCCGGGTTTGACTCCGCATTGTAAAATGCTGGTTTTCTTGAAAACCATTGTTTTGGCGACGTTTCGGCAAGGTCTCACGTGCCATTCTCAAGCCTGTTGGATCTACTTCTCGTCGTTACTGGATTAGTACTGGTCGGCAATTGCAAGTGAGACCTTGCCGAAACGTCGCCAAAACAATGGTTTTCAAGAAAACCAGCATTTTACAACGCGGAGTCAAACCCGGAAAAGTAGTGACAGCACATATAGCTCCCGCGAAAAAAAACATCAAAACAAACATATATATATATATATATATATATATATATATATATATATATATATATATATATAATCCAGCAGAAGGTACTGAGTTTTTCTCTGGTGGTGGAAATACTAATTTAAGGGCTTTCTTGTGTAGTTTTTGATTTAACATTTTATTAATTGTTTGTTCATTGTATCCGTTGTTTACTGCTATTTGCTTGATGATATTTAATTCTGTCTCAAAGTGGTATTTTGACATCGGAATTTCTGTTAATCTATATAACATAGGCTGCTCATAACATGATAGGCTGCCAGTTTATGTTGTGTTGGATGGGATGATGAATAGTGTATAGTTGTGTCAGTATGGGTAGGTTTATGAAATATGGAGAAGTCATGTTTGTTTTTTAAGTTTAATAATTTTTAAATCCAAAAAGTTTATGGATTGATTTTGAATTTACAATAGAAACTGAATAAAATGACACAGATGAAGTGGAAAATGCAATATCACAACTAAAAGATGGCAAAGCTCGTGGACCTGACAATGTATATGCTGAACTGATAAAGCTATTGTGGTTTTTCATATTTTGCTCCTTTCAATATGTGCTCAAGGTAACCAGTCTTGCGTTTTTTAATTAACTCAAAGAGTTCTCTTTCCACGCCGGCTCTCTTAAGGACGTCATCGATTCGAACTCTATCCACCCAAGATATGCGCATCATTCACTCACTACACACATTTCAAATGCTTCAAGTTTGTTGATAGGTGTTTTTTTCAAAGTCCACGTTTCCATGCCATAAAGCAAGAAAGACCATATGTAGCACTTGACCACTCTGTGACGTATTTCGAAATTTATGTTTTGATTACCTAGAAGCGGTCTGAATTTCACAAAAGCTTGTCTTGCCATTTGTATTCAGGTTTTTATCTCGTGTTGTGGATCCGATTGGTCATTGATTGTGGTGCCAAGGTATTTAAAAGTTTTTACGCGTTTTATACGATCGTCACCTATGCATATTATCGGGTTTTCTGGAGGGTTTCTGCTAATGACCATATATTTCATTTTCAAAATGTTGATTTTGAGGCCATATTTTTTACCTATGCTATTTACCCTATCAAGTAATAACTGCTGATCTTCGAAATTATCATTTATAATCACTGTATCGTCCGCATAGCGTAGGTTGCTAATTGGTATGCCGTTCACCTTAATGCCTAATTCCGTGTCTTCTAATGCTTCCGCAAGTATAGTTTCAACATATAAATTAAAAAGCATCGGAGAGAGTATGCAGCCTTGGAGGACACTCGGATTTCAAATTTATCATCAGTAACTACATAAATAAGAAATGTTTATAAGAAGTTAAAAATTTCTTGGTATATGCCGAAATTAAAAAAAAAATAAAATCCAGACCTCATATAAAACAATCAAACATTGATGATGAGCTTTTTCCAATATCAGTAACTTAGAAGAATATCTAAAGATGCTTACAGAAGACCCTGATAATTATTTAGAAAATTTTCAGCAAGGCTGTGCTTTTCAGTTTCTCACACATGCATATTTTCATAACAGTTTACATAAAGAAAACTGGACAAAAATTGTTTAGTGTAAGAAATTGGAGTTACTGAGCAAACAAAACATAAAAAGAATATGGAAATCTATTGACTCTCGAACATAACTTTAGCTAACGATAAAGATAATTTTAAAGCGTACGCAAAGAAAATAGAAAAAAATATAAATGGCTCGTTGGCAATCTAACTCCCAAGGAATATTATGCCGATGAACGTTAACTAACAGAGCCGAAGATCTTAAAGAAGAAGATACGCTTTTATGTATTTAGAAATATTATATGATTTGATAATATCTTTTTTAAAACTATTTTGATACTCTATGTAAAATGTTTTTTATATTTTGTTAAGAAATATTTCTTCTCATTAAATAAATATATTTTTTTCTCTTAGTTTAGTCTTAAGTAAAGTTTTAGGAAAGTATATTTAAAAATAACTCAAAATTACATCTATTTTATTGGTTCAAATAAATATAAACATTTTTAACATAAATGGACCTTTTTCGTCAGTCCTCTCTTTACCAAGCATGAACAGCAGGTACGTGAGCAGCATAAGCAACTGGGGCAACATGGCCAACGTGGGAATATTCAACAGCTGGGAGAGAGTAAGCGGCAACAACGGGTTGGTTGACGAGATCACTTCTGTAGCTGTGGCTTACTGCGGAAGATAGGGCAACGGGAGCTGAGTAATGGGCGGCAACGACAGGGGAAGCTTCGGCGTATACGGCTGGAGCGGAGTGTACAGCAACAACTGGTTCACTGATGACATCTTTTCTGTAGCTGTGGCTAACTGCAGATGGTACAGCTACTTTAGCTACTACCTGTTCAACAACTGGAGAGGCAACTACAGCGGGAGCAGAATGAACTTCAATGACGGGTTCGCTGATGACATCCTTTCTGTAGGTGTGGCTTACTGCAGATGGTACAGCTACTTTAGCTACTACTTGTTCAACAACTGGAGAGGCTACTACAGCTGGAGCAGAGTGAACAGCAACGACGGGTTCGCTGACGACATCCTTTCTGTAGGTGTGGCTGACAGCTGAAGGAACTGCTAGAACTGAAGAAGATACTGGAGCTACAACTTCTTGAACGACGGGTGAGGAGACTAGAGCAGGAGCAGAGTAGGCTACTACGGCAGGTTCGCTAATAACATCTTTTCTGTATGTGTGGCTGACACCGGAAGAAACTGAAGATAAAACTGGTACACTGTATGATTCGACTAGTGGACTTTCTACATATACACCGCTAGGTTTAGCAACGGTAAGGGCTACGAGAGCAAACGACACCACCAATTTGAACATTTTGACAAGTAGGTCTGTGTCGTTGTCTTGAGACTGACTGACGAAAACTGATATAGAATTATTGATTTTTGTGCTTTTTATACGGTTTTATCAAACCGGTACCACCCATACAACAAATGGAATCCAGCTCGTGACGTCAAACAATAAAAGTTTATTTCGAGACTTTTCTTCCTGTATTGAATGAGTTAATTAAACAATTTTAAGTAATCAACCTTGCAGCAGCATTTTTGGTTTAATGTATGCGTGTCTCTAGCGGAGCAAGGTCGCGAATTTTGTAGCGAAAAAATAGATCGAATTTTTGCATAATATTAAATACATTGATTGTTAAGAAGATGCAAATATAATATTAATTAACGTCACGGAAATCAAAATTTAATAATTTGTGTTAACAGTTTGGTATTTCCAAAATTTTGTTGTGTCTAGAATTAGCAATTTAGATAAGAACACATGTATAAAATGACATCATATTATTTGCAAAAAGGTTTCCATGGTATTTAATAGTTATTTATGTACTAAGGGTAAATATTAAATTGGTCCTGGTTTATGCAAACTTCAAGAAGATGTAAAATTTCAGATGTAATGATTGGATTTGTACTATTTTGGTCTAAAAGGTTTTTTACTATCTATAAAAGTTTCTGTAGGAGTAATAATAGGACAAACATTTTTTGCGTTAAATGAAATTAATCTGGAGTTGTTAGGTAATTCAAAATGTTATATTTTATTAACTAGTTCTATTGTATTTTTTAAATTTAGGTAAAAATTTAGTGTGTTCTAAAATTATCTCTAACAGTTTTATTGAAAGTTTATATGAGGGTGCTGTATAAAAAGAAACTACAGGTCTTATTGGGTGATCCGGTGTGTGTAGTTTAATAAAAGAGTATAATTTAGGAGGCTATGGGTTCATGATATTCAGGTGTTTCTGTTCTGTTGGATTTACTATTGATTTTGAAATTTCTAACGCTAGCTTAATTTGTTTTCGATACTTTTCTGTCGGATCTTTGTATAAGGTCTCAATTTTTCGATTATTTAAAAATTCTATTGTTTTATTATATTCTAATTTATCTATAGCATTAGTAGTGTTACCTTTGTCTGCTTTTGTAAACACAATGTTGTTTTCTATTGATTTATTTTTAATTGAAATGACTGTTTTATTCTCTTTGTAACAGGAATTTTTGGTTTCACTACACTACACACATCTGTAATAGATTTTGCAATTATACTTTTTTCGATATTGATGGCAGTTTTGTTTAATGCTACTTTACATTCTACACCTAAATACTCTCTTGTTTTCCGATTATAATGTTGGGGCAAGTTTTTTACAGCACCCTCATATAAACTTTCAAAAAAACTGTTAGAGATTATTTTAGAACACACTAAATTTTCACCCTAATTCTAACCCCTAATAAAATACAACTTTTTCAATTACCTAACAACTCCAGAATAATTTCATTTGACGTAAAAAATCTTTTTCCCAGTATTTATTCTACAGAAACTTTTGTTCCAGTAAAAAACCTTTTAGACTAAAATAGTACAAATTCAATTATTACATCTGAAATTTTACATCTTCTTAAAGTTTGCATAAACCAGTACTACTTTGAATGTAATAATCAAATATACACAAATAACAGTGCAGGACTTATAATGAGAAATCCTCTAAGCCCATTGCTATCAGATATTTTTATAGATCATCTAGAGACAAAGATTTCAAAACATCGCATATTCAAACAGTTTTTATATTGGTTGAAATACTTAGACGACGCACTGGTATGTTACCCAGGAACTAACAGGCAACTCAACCAATTTTTATCGTATAATAATTCACTTTATAGTCATATTGAATTTACAATAGAAACAGAACAAAAATTATCAGAGTTAAAAACAAACATGACTTATAAACCACAACATAAACAGGCAGCCTATCATAGTATGTTACATAGATTAACAGAAATTCCGTTGTCAAAATACAACTTTGAGACAGAATTAAATATCATTAAGCAAATAGCAGTAAACAATGGATACAACGAACAAACAATTATTAAAATGTTAAATCAAAAACTACACAAGAAAGCCTTAAAATTAGTATTTCCACCACCAGAGAAAAAACCCAGTACCTTCTGCTCGATTATATATACAGCCAAATATCAACAAAAATAGCAAACCACATAAAAAAAGGAATAACACCAGCCTTTAGAATAAATAACAACCTAAGCACATATATTAAAAACAACAAGATCCAAAATAAAAACCACTTACACAGTGGTGTGTACAAACTTAAATGTGACGACTGCCCAAAAAACTTACATCGGTCAAACGGGTAGAAATTTTAAAAAACGAATAGCAAAACATAAAAGGGCTTTCAATAATAGAAAAACAGGTTCTACATATGCACTTCACCTTCTAGATCATAATCATTGTTTTATTGACGAGTTTAAAATTCCTTACATTCAAAATAAAGGCATTAAGCCATCCCTGTTAGAATCTATGGAAATCAACAAATTAAAAAACACAGATATAATTCTGAATGACTAACTTAAGACAAACAGTTCTCCCCTCCTTTATCTATTTCATTAGAGACTATAAAGTGTAAACGCATGCCAAAAATAGATCACTTGAGAAAGGCAATCAGCTGAAACAGCTGTAGTGATACGAGGTTAAAATAATTATGTGGAAGTTTGAAAACAAAGTTTTCAGTGTTTTATTGTTACAAGAACAGACTTGTTTCCATCGTCATCGTATGCAAACATGCTACTATATAAAGGCATTCTTTTTATATTTGTCAACTCAGGGGGAATTTGTTGTTTGGTTTTACGCAAGGTACCTATCGTTGTCAAGCAATGATCGTTAAATAAAGAGTTGGCTAAGGGTACAAAGGAAAAGTAATTATTCGTAGGTAATTTGGACCGGTTCCACTTATATGAAGAAAAAATCTTTTTACTACACTAGACGCATCGTTGGGTAGTTGGTATGGTCCTTAATTACTATTTAAATGGGAATAAGCCACAATTCAAGGTTAAAGTAAGTTTATTAACGTTTAAATTTTCACTTTGGAAATCGTTCTCAAAATACAAACATTAGTAGATTTACTTCCAAAGTGGAAATTGAAACGTTAATAAATTTACTTTCCTCTTTAATTGTGGCTTATTCGCATTTAAATAGTAATTACTTTTTTGGAAATGTTGCTGACATTTGTAAAGGAGAAATATGTATCTGATGTTATTTGTGGCATTGCAGCTTTTCTGTAAATTTAAGTTAAGTTCTATTTAGAACCTTATGGATGATATTGGGATCATAACCATTATTTAAAGAATTTTCTTGAGCGTATTAAATTCTAAATTAAAGTTCTCATTAGAAAGTGGAAATTTGAGAAGCCTTTAAATGTAACTGTTAAAAGCAGCCATTTTATGTTGGATTCGATGATTAGATGATGAGATAGGTATAACATGATCTGTTTGAGTAGGTTTTCTGTAAATATTACACTCTGGAGAATCTTTTTTACAATATATAGACATATCCAAGATCTTCATCTTATTGTCAGATTCTGGTTTCAGTGTAAAAGAGATGTTAGAATGAAGGTACATGACTGGCCTTTTGGCTTTGCCAGTGCCATTAACTTAGGAAAAAAAGGATGAAGGTTATTAAGATCATATAGAATCTAGAAGGCTTCATCTTGGATTGTATGAGAGCTAAACAACCATCAACATATCTTGACCAAAAAACTATTGTATTGTTGTTAACAAATTTTTATTCTTGAGAAATTATCAGCTACAAAAGGTGAGAATGGAGAACATATTGCTAAACTTGTTGGTTCTTTATATATTTTATGTTTAATTTGGAAGAAGTCCTGATCAAGCCAAAACTTAAGCATAGTTAATAGGATTTTATCTTTGTCTTTTGCTGATATGGTTATGCAATTGTTTAAAAGGTTGTATACTACAGATAAACTTTCATCTTTTGGTATAGTAAACAAAATTTCAACATCAAAAAAAACTATATAAAAACTTTCTTCCATTTTAATGTTATTTAAAAGTTGTATTAGATCTAAAGTCCAAAGACAGGGGGAAAGCCAGAGCAAAAGATAGGGGGGAATGCAGACTAATTCTTGAACAGACCAAGACCCACCCAGGGTTGTAGAGCCAAAGATGATGATTAGATCTAAAGAATCTGTAATGGAGAACTTGGGTTTAAAATTATTGATAGACTGAATTGTCCTGAAAATAAACTATCTTGAAAATAGGTGTTATAGGATTAGATGCAGTTAACTTTTTGTTGTTATGTTTAGTAATATTATCATAAGACAATCTAGCCATTGCTTTTGTTTTATTAATAAAGGTGTTAATTTGATATTTTTCCAAAATTACAAAACTGTTATTCTACTTTTTTTAATGTATTGAATTTGTTCTAGAATTACAATACAATTTCTCTTACCAGCCTTGCTAAGTACTAGAGAATCTCTATCGATTTTTTGCTTAATTGATTTTACCCAAATCGTTTTGTTTTTTAAAAGAAAGGTGATTTCTATAAAAATTACGTTTTTACTTACATTGTTGTTGTTAAAGAAAGCTAATGCAAGAGTTTCTTAAATACTGTTGAATTTCAGCATTGTTTCTCATACCTTCTATCAGAGTATCCAGTTCCACTGCGAAGCCTCCTAGCACTGAGTCAGTGAACCTAAAGTTCTGACAGGAAAAGTTAAGGCTCAATCCTAAAAAATACAATTTATTTTCTAAAAAATTAGTGTTACTTACATTTAAGACTCTAGACTAAAATTTTACGTTTTTTTGTGAAATCAAACGGTTTAATTTGTTGGTACGACTTCTCTTTTTAGTGGATTGTAAGCGGGAAACCTCAACTTCTATGTGATTAAAGGAGTCGTTAAAAAGAAACCAAGGATGTTGTTGCAAAATTTGATCATAAGGAATTTTAAGGTTCACATTAATATGCTGAAGCTTGTTATAGTGCTTCTTAAGATCTTTTTTAAGGATATTTTAGCTCTTTCAGGATCTTTTTATCTTAGCAAAAGTAGAGTGACTTGATGTGA